TATAGCAGCAAACATCTACACCGAATAAGAAGAAAGATCTTGGAAACACATCACAATTCAACTTCACAACTTGAGGAGCTAGAGAAGCAGTAGAGCAATGAAGCCCATTCTTCCAGAAGGAGTGACCATCACACAGGGCAGAGAGGCAGCACAGGGCAATTCCGAGTATCCGTGTCTGCCCCGGGGGCACCAGTCTCACTCTGTAGCCCACCCCAGGGGCTCATGGTCTGCATATACGGGTCTTCCATGTTATAAGTGAAAGACCCTATTCCCTCCCATGGTAACAGGAATAGAAGTGGGGTTGACCAGGGGCCATGTGGCATACACGTCTTTGTGAGCTGGACAAAGAAGACTGACTGTTGTCCCAGGAAGGGAGGTTCTCTAATAAGAAAGGAGACAAAAATATTAGGGCAGAAGAAGATACAGTGCCACCCTCCATTATCTGAGAATGTCCCCGGCTCCAGGCTTGGAGTGAGGCTTAGGAGGTCCGACCGGGGATTGTGTCCCCAGCCACAAGGATATCTGTGCCCATCGCCGGCCCTTCTGCCCATAGTACTTGGAATGCACATGATGTACCTGCAGGTTACTGGAGGAATCCAGGCTCAGGCCAGAGGCCCTGGGAGGTCCCTGGGTCTGCAGAGGGCCTGGAAATGCCCCCGTCTGCACCCATGTGGTCTGCAGACCCAGTGTCTCTGCCCCCTGCCGGCCTGCAGTCCCCAATTACATCCCTCACCAGTGCTTCTGTCCTGACCACGTTGCCTGGCCACAAGTTTCTTTGAATCCCCCGTCCAGACGCTTAAACGTCTGTGGGCTGTGTTCTCGATGGCTCCTCTGAGTTTGAATTCAAATGCGTACAGTCTTTCAGGGCACGGCCAGGGCTCCCCCTCTGGAGCTGTCACCCATGCACTCCCAGAGTGTGACCTCAGGGTGTACAGACTGCTGGGGCCTCTGCTTTTGCTCTGTCCCTCTTCTGCCGTGTCCCGCTGTCATACATCCTGTTTAGCATAGTTCACATAGTTGATGGACTACACCAGCAATGTGCGGATCTACGCGCAGAGCAGGGATGGGGGACCTCTCTTCTGCCAGGGCCATGTGGACGTTTATCACATCATTCGAGAGCCAAGCATTTCATTAATCCACCCCTGATGTGATGGTGGTCGAAAGACTTGACTTTCTACTCCTGTAAAGTGTTACAGTCTTAGAGACCCACAGGGGCGGTTCTACCCCATCCTACAGGGTCACAATGAGTTGCAATCTGCTTGATGAGAGTGTGTTTGTTTTGCTTTGATGTGCTGGCTGAAACCGCTTCTCTTTGATGAGGCAGGTGTTGTGACCTGGTATTGATGCTTCCACTGGCCTTCTACAGCCTTCGAGCCTAATGCGCCCCACCACCCCCATGCCCCCGTATTGTTTTCAGGTGTCATCGTCAGCGCTGACCCACAGCGACCCTGTGCACAACCGAAGGAAATATCGCCCAGTCCTACGACTTCCTCACAGCCGTTCCTGTGCCTGAGCCTATTGTGGCAGCCACTGTGTCGATCCATCCCCTTGAGAGCCTTCCTCTTTTTGCTGCCCTTCCACTTTACCAAGCCTGGCATCCTTCTCCGGGGACTGGTGTCTCTTGACAACATGTCCAGAGTATGTGAGATGAAGCCTTGCCATCTTTGCCCCGAAGGAGCATGCTGGCGGTACTTCTTCCAAGATGGATCTGTCTGTCTCTTTAGCAGTCCGTGGTATGTTCAATGTTCTTCTCCAGTACCGCAACTCAAAGGCATCGGTTCTTCTTTGGTCTTCCTTTATTCGATGTCCAACTTTTATGTGCATGTGATGCAATGGAAAGTACCATGGCTCGAGGCAGGCGCACCTTGGGCTTTAGAGTATTGAAAAGCAAGGGTGTTACTTTGAGTACTAAGGTGAGCCTGATCCCTGGTATAGGGAGACATTTTATTAAAAACCAACACGGCACTAGTATCCAGATATAAAATGAAAGTCCCCTTCCTTCCCCAACACCAATCACACTCCCACTCTCAAGGGTTATGCCCAGCAGTCGTTAGATGTGGAGCCTT